TTTCTTAATTTAGCTTATTTGTTATATTTTTTAATGTTCTTAATTTACAGTCTTTAGATTTTCATTTCGAAAATTTACTGTTAAAGGTTGTGAGCACATTTTGTATGTATAACTTTATTTATCATTATTTTTTTTTTCATAGTTTTTGGTAAATATATCTATCATTCAATAGTTGTAAAATGTGTTTATACGTGTTACATAAAGTCATATTTGTTTATAGTTGTATATGTTTAAATTATAAAAGCCAAAACAACAATTTATACCTTAGTTTGATTTTTTTTTTTTTAATATTGTTAATGCTTTGGTACTTCGAAACAGGTTTTATAGTTACATTTTCGATAAATCTTTAATTGTAATTTCAAAATCGGTTACTATAAATAGGTAAATCGATTTTCGGTACTTGTGTGGTGGTTTCTGTTGGTTTTTTTCCTTCGTAATTATGATATCATAATTTCATTACTTTTTTATTTTAGAATTACGTTATGACGCATTTATAAGATTTATAAAATAAAAAAACCTGATTTCTTTTTATTGTTAGTTAAAAAGATATAAATATATACTATTAGTTAATTTTATATTTTATCTATTTTATGCATAATAATTTGTTATACTTATTTTAAAGGGATCTTTGTAAATGGGGGGTCGTAACTAAAAACCTTTAAAAATGTGGAGAATATTGTAGTTTTGCGCATTAATATCGAGTTACTTAAGTTTTTATTTATGTGTTTAACTAATTAGTTAGCTTAGTCTGTATTTGCAACACTTTTGAGGAAAGAAAGAAAACATTCTTATATAAGTAGATCATTGTTTTACATTTTATTATTTTATTTTATTCACCTGGCCACCACTAAAGCAAAAAGAGGGAAGAAACCTCTTTATTAGAGTCAAAATATTTAGGAAAACTAAATTTCGAGTTACAAAAGGAATTTTTAGTAAATGGTAGCAAATTACCGATTACTAAAAAATTAATGAAATAAAGAGGCCAAACAAATAATAGAGAAATGTTCTGTGTTGAACAGACTTAACAAGACCCGGGTCGGGTCAGCTTGGTTTACAAATTTTTATGTCTACTTATCTCTTATAATTTTTGTTTTAGGTTTGTCGTATGATGCATTAATGTATTAAAAAATTTGTTATACACATGTTTGATCGTAAATTAAATTTTTTTTGTTTGAAAGGTATTTGTACTCAGTTGCGTAGTTATAATAAACTTTGTTCTTTTTTATAAATTTATTTAAATGTGTGAATTTAACATTTTTAAGTTAAGAATTTTCTTTTCTAAAGTGCAATTAATCAAGGGGATACCAAAAAATTGATAACTCCTGTATAATATAATTTAACTTCATTTTAATCTTAATGGTTCGTGTTATAAAAATTATTACAAGGATTTAGTTGACACTTCCGTCAATTTAAAGCATGACCAAGTGTTATTATTTTGTGTCAGTATCTAAAAACGTATTGTGTTAAACTTAAGAAGGTCGATGAAAATGGTTCTGCCTTACACTGCTATGACCTATGCCATTTGTAAATTACTTAAATAATGTTAAGTAGTAATTGTAAATGTTAAGTAGTAGTTTGTAAATTATTTTACCTCCTCATAATTTTTATGTTAATTTTACAGATGGATTAATTTTTTCAAGCTGAAGGCGATTTTCTAAAAGGGTATTAGTAACCAGAAACCAAAAATGAAAAAGATTTATGATTTCAAACAACTTAAAATAGTCAAGTTAGTTATGTGTCTGGTAAAGCTAATAAAATGTTAGGAAAAATAAAACATTCATTAAATAACCTAGACATAAACGCATCTAAATTATTGTACAACTCTCTTCTAAGACCTTATCTAGACTACGCAAATTCAGTGTGGTATCCTTACTTAGAACAAGATAAAAAAAAATTGAATCGATACAACGTAAAGCAACTCGAATAAAATGTCTTCAAGTAAAAAACTATGAAAGTAGACTCTTAACGACTCTTGAAAAAAGACGCGAACGTAATGACGGTAGGCTCTCTTGTCAAACCCTTATTCCGACGCTGTCCTTAAAGTCCGCGAAATGGTGAGTTATAACGCTTTAAAGATTTCGCGATGGAGTTGCTACGGAGTTTATTTTTAATTTATTTTTTTTTTTTTAACAAGATGCTCTAAAAAGTCCTAATGGTCTTGTCACAGCGCACCGCCACAAAGAGAATACCATTTAATAAGTTGGCTTTACTTTTTATTATATTTTGCTTAATTATAAAATCAAATACTTATAATAAAAATAAAATATTTAGTATATAAAAGTTTTATAGTTTGGTAGTTTATAAAAACATGTAAAATCTTTAGATGTTGTTAACAGTGTAAAGATTTTACATGTTTTTAATAGTGTAAAGTTTAAAGTTACAGTTAAATTTATTCTTCCTTCCTAAAGTTACAGTTAAATTTATTCAAACTTCCATATGTATGTTTGACTGAGACGGTTATATGGCCATTAACATTTAAATATTAAATAAAATATTTTTTAAAATTTTCTAAAGTTAAAGGTTTAATTTATTCAGTCTTCTACTCCAAATTACTTATTTCCTGTGTACTTTTCAGTAAACAAACTCTAATCAAACCTTATTTAAATTGATACTCTTTTACCAAGTTTTTTTGTAGCCAATTTTGTAGCCAATAAAAATATTTTATTTATAGTCAACATTAAAAAATTTTTAACTTAAATTAAGTTAAAAATCTTTAAATTCATTAAGATGTTTGACTGAGATGTTTATACATAATATTATTATGTATAAACATCTCAGTCAAACATCTTAATGAATTTAAAGATTTTTAACTTAATTTAAGTTAAAAATCTTTTAATGTTGACTATAAATAAAATATTTTTACGCCGTGGTGATTAACTTTCCATTCTATTCTTTATGATTATATAAAAAGTATTATTAAACAAGTATTTTTTTCCTGCCAGTTCTAAACTTTATTAAATAATTGCTTCTATTCAAACACAAGTTTTACTCAACTCCGTAACTTCGCCAAAAAATCTTTAAAGCTTTATAACTCGCCATTTCGCGGACTTAGAGGACAGCGTCGGAATAGGGGTTTGACAAGAGAGCCTACCCGTAATGACCTAATCCAACTTTACAAAATAGTAAAAAAATAGATAATTTAACATTGGAATACTCACCAGATTTAATAGCTTCAAATACGAGAGGTCACAATATGAGGTTTCATAAACAGTTAACTAAAAATCCAAACAGGTACTATTTCTTAACGAACCGTATTATTAACAGCTGGAATAACTTAGATCAAAACATTGTAGATTCTAAAACATTTAAACAATTTAAATCAAACTTGAACTTATTTTTAACATAAATCGGCTGTTTAAACCTAGATCAACTAGGCTCCGTACATTGTCATTGTACATGTACACAATTATTAAATTTATAAATAAATAAAGAACAATTTTTCAGTTGGTTATTTAATAAATTGTTCCATAATTTAGGACCTCTGATGGCTATAAAAAATTTAGTAACCCAAATAGTGTATTTTAGGTTGCTCGTAATTGTAATTTGAAAATTTTGTAAGGTACACGTGATTAATTTTATTGAAAAGTGTATTAAATATTATATTATTTATATATATATTATTTATTATGAAGTTTGTACATAAATATAAGAACTTTATAAAGGTTAAACTGAAAAACATTATTAAATAGTTCTTTAGAATGTACAAATCGACCTGCATTTGAAATAATCCTGTTTTTGTCTACTAAACAATTTTTTAACTTTACTTTCATTAGAGATGCACCATTTAATATTTGCATAGTTTGTACAAAAATGTATGAGGGAGAATTATAAGATTTTTAGGCAGTTTTAGTTTAAGGTTTGCTTAGCTTTGTATAGTATGCCAATTTTTTTCGAGATTTTATCTTATATATTCTCTCCATGTCAGATTTTCGTCCAGTATCACTTCTAAAAACTTTAATGACGACTCTCTAATTATTTTAGAGTTGCCAATGTAAATATCAGAAAGTTTTAATGGAATATTTTCTTTATCGTAAAGTCTATGAAAAAAAGTATACCTAGTTTTATTTAAATTTGTTTGCCTTAAACGATTCCGCTAGATTTAAAAATTCTTTGTTTACTATTTTAAATAAAAGATTGACATCTTCATTAGAATAAAATTCGTATCATCTGCAAATAAAAACAAGTTTAAAATGTTTGAATACTTATGGAAATTGTTTACATAAATAAGAAATAAAAATGGACCCAGAATTGAGCCTTGGGAAACACCGCAAGTAATAGTCAAGTAATCAGTTTTTCCTTTTTCGTGTGCTATGTATTGTTCTCTATTGTTTAGATAACTTTTGAGCCATTCTTAATATGTGCTTCTAATACCATAACTTTCGAGTTTTTTTTATTAGAATGCTATGGTCTACTGTATCAAAGGCTTTACTAAGATCTTTGTTAAAAACATGTTTTGCTTAGATCTTTGTTAAAACCATGTTTTATCTTTTTAAGCCGTTATCATAAAAAATGCCAGTTCATTTTTTAAAAATAAATAAAAAATAGTTTATTCAATAAAAGGCTTAACGTTCAATTGAGTGTAAATTTAAGTGAATAAATGTGTCCTATATATAACAATGAAAAGGTTTGTTTATTTATGCAACTTTTATAGGTAAATTTAAGATTAAGTTTTTAAAAACCTAATCTTGTACCAAAACTATTATTGTTTAAGTATTATAACACTGAACAATAATTATTATTTCAGTACTGAATCGTTTCATAAAATACTGATTTCAGTACAAAAGTATTAGTTAGCATTGATAACTTATAGATTCCGATGAATTATTTTATGCTATACTGAAGAAATACAATCATTTTAAATAGAGTTTAAAAAAATAAAATAGTTAAAAGAAAAAAAAAAGAGTTTAAAAAAATTAATTTTTGGAGCCAATATGTTTTTTCTGTTTACTTTATTTTGTTTTGCTTTGGGTCAAAACTGCACAAAAAATAAAATTAAAGAAATGGTTGGTGGAGAATTTTATATTGTTGGATTATTTCCTATGAATTGTTCTACACCAAATGAAATAGACAACAGGACTATTGCTTGGATGGAAGCTATGAAATATACAATAGAGGAGGAAAATAAAAAATATAACAGAAGTATATTTGGGTACGTAATATATGATACGTACGATCCTACAAATATGGACATGACCTCCTTTGCTGTATTAGATTCATTAAAATTATCCAACCAAAATTTTTGCAACAATGATAAAATATGCATGAATTTAAATGGCCAATTAAATCGAAATCAATTTAAAAATATTTTAGGTTTTGTAGGCCCAGCTGAATCATCTACTTCTATTTACGTTCATGCATTAACATCAGTTTATGAACACATTCCCATTATTAGTTACGCAGCGGTGAGTTTAGAATTAAATGACAAAACGAAATTTCCTAACTTTTTTCGAACGGTTCCTGCTGATAACTTTCAAGCTGAATTTATAAAAAAAGTTTTACAAAAATACAAATGGAATTTTATTTCAGTAATAGCAGTAGATAGTTCGTATGGAAGAGCTGGACTTGAAATTTTAAAACAGAACTATGAAAGTGATGATATTTGCATAGATGTTTTAGAAATATTGCAGCAAGCATACGACCCAAAAATATATTCAAAAATTGCTGAAAAACTAATTACTAGCACAGCTCGTGTTATTGTGTTTTGGGGACAATTTAGGCCTTTTTTTCACTTTTTACAGGAAGCATTAAATTTAAATTTATCAAACCGAATATGGATTGTAAGTAAAGCAGTTGGTAAAAACTCTTTTTTTCTTAATTTTAAAAATACACTTAATAATAAGCTTCTGTTTGTTAGTTATACAGCTGGAGAAGATCAGAAGTTTAAAAATTACTTTTTTAGCCTAACCTATGAAAATTCGAGTGAATGGCTGAAAGTAATTTTTGAGCGAAGCAGATTTAGCAGCAATTCAAATGTTAATGCAAGAGAAATTAAAGAAGTATTTGATTTAAGTGGAGTTTCGGTTGTTCAAAACGCTGTAAAAATTTACATAAAAGCTTTTTATCAATATCAAGGATTTTCGTGCAATTGTTCAACTCCAACAGAATTTCATGACATAAATGACAGATTTAAATTTAAAAAAATAATTGAAAATGTGTCAATTTATACATTAAATAATTCTAAACCTTTACAATTTAATTCAAATCAAAATTTTGATCCTATTTATTTTGAACTTTATACTTACAATGAATCAGAATTTTTATTGGTTGATAGGTGGACATACAATGCAACATACCTAGATACCATTAATAACACAAAATATGGTTTTTTAAAAAATAAATCTGTTTGTTATGACGATTGTAAACTAGGCGAAATTAAAGTAATTTCAAATACAGGAAACTGTTGTTGGAGTTGCTCCCCTTGCGCGGATAACCATATAGTTATAAAAGAAAAATGTGTTGACTGTGGAAAAAACTTAATGTCTGATAAAAATAAAACAAAATGCGTTGAGCCCAATACTACTTATTGGAGTTTTAATGATAGTCGAAAATCTCTAAGCCCATCATTAGTTTTGTTATCATCTAGTTTTGGCATACTTACATCAATATTTTTTATATATACTTTTATCAGAAAGAAATCAACCCCAATTGTCCGTTCGTCATACTATGAATTGTCATTAGTGCAAATGGCTCTGCATCTTATATGGTTTGTTTTACCTTTTTTAACATTTGGGCAAGAGTATTATTTAAAATGTGTTATAAGAATGTATTTTGGTAGCTTTTTGCACGTTACTATAGTTACTATACTATTAGTTAAAATAACCCGGCTTGTCACAATATTTGGGTTTTCCACTGACTGCAGACTTTTAAAAATTGAAATGATTTATTTAAGATCTAAAATCGTTATACTCCTTATATTGTTTCCTTGTATTTTTGCAGCTTTAATAGTTGTCGTTCATAATAGCAAATTTAAAGTTAATGTGTTCGATAAAGAAGATAAAAAATTGTTTACCGTTCAAAGGGATTGTGATTCAATTAGGTTTTTAATAATATATTTATGCTTCGTGTTATTTTTATCGTTTTTATGCGGAATTCAATCGTTTAAAGCTCGAAATCTTCCAACAACTTACAATGAAAACAAAAACATAGCCTATTCTTTGTTTTTGTCAAACATAATTCTGTGTGTTACTGTCGGACTTGTTAGTAGTGATCTGAGTATTGAAAATAAAAAGCTCTTGCTTTGCTTATTAACAAATGTCTTGAACTTTATTCAGATGAATTTTTTGTTTTTTAATAAAATAAAGATAATGTGGCTCAACCCCCAAAAAAATACGCACGAAGTTTTTAGGCGAATTAGTTTCACAAATGAGCTTGAAAGAGCTAGATCAAGTCAAAGCAATCAAAGTATAGCTGAAACTGTGGATGATAGGTTGTAATGTTTAAAAAATTTATAAAATCAAAATTGAATAATATATTTATTCTATAAGTTGAAACTTGTTATATAATATAACAAGTTTTAAATTTGCCAAACCCGGACACATAAATAACCATAGTAATAATATTGTACTACAGATATGTCAATGTTGATGTTTTATTTCTTGTTGCATATGTGATCTCTTTTTACAGACATTTGTTATATCAACAAAGAGGAGTGTTCGAATTTTTAGAGTAAAAGATTTACAAACACTTTTTAACATTCTTTATTTTTCATGTATTTTATAAATGTACAGTAAATTTATTTGAGATTATATTTTAATGGGTATTCTAAAATAAAATAGTGAGCAAATAAAATTTATAAGTTTTAAATGAAAAATTTTATTTAATTACACCATGAAGTCAATTCTGTAAGCATATAACTTTATTTAAATAAAGTAAAATAATGTTGAATGGGACATTAGATTAAGCTAAAAACCTTTTTACTTTTTACATATAAATATTTTTGCACTATATATTTGATAGTACTGTTTGACCCTTTTTTTATCAATTGAACTTTTTTGACATTGGTTTGAAAAGTATTAATTGTGTGTAATAATACTTTTTTTTTAATTTAAAATCTCAATTGAAAATTCAAAATCTGACTTGATATATTTGTAATTAAAAATTGCATTGTTAAAATTCTACTAAAATTTTTTAAATTTACTTTTCAAGATTAAATTTGCAATTTTTTATATAGAGTTACAAAGACAAAACTTTAAAAAATTACTTTTAAAAAATGCAATTAGGCATATTATTTGACATAATAATGATAAGTTTTGGTTTGGACCTAATCACCAATTGTATGTTTTTCATATTTTGTAACCAATTGCACATTCTATTTTATTATTCAATGTAATTGATACTTACATTTGATATTATTTTGCAATTACATTAAATCCTTTTTCAATTATACTAATCCAATTTAAGGATTCAACCATGTAAAGTTTAGCGGTGCAATCGTGTAAAAGTAAACATCTTTTTTTACTTCGGATCATAGCTGTTTTAAAGCGTAAATCGGAGCCTGAAAGTAAGGGGAGGCAGCATTAAAATCAATTTTGACTAATTTTAGTCGAACTAAAAAGTTGGTCGACTAAATTTAGTTGAACTAAAATGTTAGTTGACTACTAGTTTTGGGTTCAACGCATTCTGTTTTATTTTGATCAGACAATAACTTTTTTCCACAGTCAACACATTTTTCTTTATAACTATATGGTTATCCGCGCAAGGTAAGCAACTCCAACAACAGTTTGAACTAAAATGTTAGTTAAACTAAAACTAACCCTAACTCCCATCTCTTGTTATTCTGCGGCGGCTATAAAAAAAAGCGTTCGCAGAATCATGTTTTTCCTCAATGAAGTATTAGGCGTTCCAGTTTATGACGTGAGCGATGCTTTCGACTAAATAAATATTGTAATAACGTAGAGTAAAGTGACCAAATTTTAGCCAAATTTTAAAATTTAATATTCATATCTTGGTTTTTATGTTATACTTGTGAATGTAACATTTTTGAGACTGGAATGAACTCAGCAAATTAAAAAAACATTGCTTTAGTTAGAGAGTGTTTACAAAGAAGGAGCATAATAATAAATATATATCTAATTAAGTACTACTTTAAATTTAAAATACTATGCAAGTTTAAAGGTATTCAACATACCTTAAAAATAAATAATATTGAAGAAAATATTGTTAATTTTTAATTACTAATATACTTCACAGATAACATTTTATTTTTATTTATTTAGGTATTTGATTGTGCTGAGTTATTTCTATAGATTGTATTTGTGACTATCTGGTCTAAGTATGCTAAATGTGTAAGATAAATTTTGTTAAACATATGACTTATATGACATGTAAGATATATATTACAGAAATTATATGACATGTAAGGTATGTATTACACACCATCTGGCCAAAGTATGTTAAACATGTAAGATATATATTACAAAATTCAAATCTTTCAATATAAGTAGTTTTGTTAAACCTATGACTTAAAGATTAATCAATTTTAAATTTATTTTGATATTTGCATAATATTTTCGTTAGCTTAAAAATAAATCAAAATTTATATACTCAAAGGAAAAAGCTTAAACCTATGACTTAAAGATTAATCAATTTTAAATTTATTCTGATATTTGCATAATATTTTCGTTAGCTTAAAAATAAATCAAAATTTATATACTCAAAGGAAAAAGCTTAAAATTTTTATTTTTTTTGCATTATATAGATTACGGTTTTTAAATGAGTTTATATTAAGATTAAATCTTTGAATAAAACTTTCAATAAATAATCAATTTATAAAGTTTTGTATTTGAAATGGCTGATAGACAGAAAAATTTAAGAAGAAAAATTTAAAACAAGTGTTATAAAATTCAATATCTATTAATTTGTGGAAAACATGTAGAATAGTCAGAGGAAATGTTACCTAAGACTTTAAGCAGTGGTAATAATTTACCTAAAATGTCTGTTAAAGCTGCTGTTAAATGTTATATAACTTCTACTCACCAGCTCTCAATATTTTTTTAAATTGATAAAAATGGCTAAATGAAATCAGATAAAAATAACTAAATTGCCTCCACTGGTTTCAACCTTACAATCCGTTCAAGGAGTTTTTTTATTTGAAAAAATCTTTTTTCAAATAAAAAAACTGATGATGCAACAAGAGTTGAGCAGATTAATCAAACAATTGACAACACAAAAATAATTTTATATGATATCGAGCTAGGACAAATTCAGATAAGTCTGACACTTTAATGTAATTACCGATCCAAGATCTACTATACCAGTTGATAGTGGCTATTTAGATGAATTAATAACAATAGAAGAAATTCCAGAACAGTGGTTAAGTTATGATACTTAGTGGTTAAGTTATGATAAAAAGTCTCATGACAAGCAACAGCTGGAATGTTTTTAGTTCTGTCAATTAAAAGGAAATAGATTAGTGAACACTAATCCGATGTTTGTCTGATAAAAAAAATAAAAACTACTAAAATAAACTATAATAAATATGCATTTCCGAGTATGTTTTGAGACACCTTTAACAGCTACTTTGAATTTTTTTTTTCAAACATCTTTACTTCCATCAAGGTTACAAGCAAAGCAAGTTAGAACTTGGTAAGAGTGAAAAGATGAGATTTATAGACCAAGATAACAATTAACAGACAAGTTAAAAGACTGTGAATTATACGAATTAAGAAAACAAGATGAAGAAGGCGAATTCCAAAGAACTGATGTTTGAGGAATAAAACTAGTCAAAATAGGATTTTTCGTAGCACTTAAAAATTGTCACTGTACGAGGAACTTTTGTAAATGGCACAAAAGACGCTAGCTCGTTAGAGCAGTGCCCATCATCATTCATCATATTATACAATAGCGAAGTCAATACTTATTGGAGAGTGTTTGACACGATACTCTTGGCAGCCATTGCAACCGAGGTAATAGTGAGAAAGAGTAGTAGCACTTTTTTATATAAGAAAAGTCAACAAAAGTGTATGCTATTATCTAACTAACGCAAATATCTAACTTTCTTCAAATTATGTAATGTTAAAAACATACTAAAACATATATCAAGTTTTCCAGTTTTACTTTCACTTGAAAATTGCATTGTGGCAACATCGCCTTAAGATGTGATCTGTAGCACTTAATTCTATTTGATAAAGTCTTTATTATGTTAGATACTTTTTAAATCTTTATCAGTGAATAAGACAGTGTAGCCGAGTGGTGAATACGCAACGCTGTGAATCTGTAGGTCCAGGTTCGATTTCTACCATCGGCATTATTTTCTATTTTATTTTAATATTTTTTTATTTTTCGAAAACACAAAGTAAAACGCTTTTAAAGAAAAAGGTTTGGTTTGAAAGAATTTGTTTTGCATCTGATAATATTAATACGCTAATTTAATATTATTAGTCGAATTACGTCATTTTCTAGGCTTTTCTATATTAAAGTAGTTTCTAGGCTTTTCTATACGCGGTTTTTTTTTTAATTTTATTTACTAGCAACGCGTACTACGGGTTGCTTACTGCTAGTTTTAAATAACAAGTATTAAAAAAAAAGGCAAGCCTATGATTTAAACGTGCCATGCGGCAATCATAATTAATTACGGGGTTTGAAAAATATGTTTTTATTAAAAACATAATTCAAAATTTCAACTTTATAATTGAAATAAACCATTTTATTAACATTATAATTTTTAATTAAATAAAGTAATAAGTTAAAATACATAATATCAAAATAATAAGGAAATTTAAAGTTTTACAGCTATTTTACCACACCTCTGTTAATCATTCTAAAACGTGTGCGCAACATTGACAGAATTTAGATAAATATCAAAATAATATTATACTCTGTATAATATTGGAAGGACTTGGACGCTTTCAACGGATAAGGCACGAGGCATTGTAGATATAATGTATAAATGTTAATCATTGTAGATATAATGTATATAATGTATAAATACGCTGTAGGTATGATACACAGATGTACACGCTGTAAGTTTTTTGTATTTTTTATTTTACTTTTATAAATTTTTGAAATGTCCTTAAATCTTATATTATCATTATCATAAACAAAATGATTATTGAATGTACTTAACCTGCAGAAATACAAAGACAAAGTAAGAATCTTGAAAGAATCTCATCGACTAAAAGGTACAAGTTTTTTTATTAACGAAGACTTTTCTCGTGAGACCGTTGCTATTCAGAAAAGATTATTTGCGGAAGTAAAACAAAGGCGCTCTAATGGTGAAAATGTAACGGTAAAATATGACAAAATTATTTATCTTAATAATAACTTTAAAAACAATCTTAACAAATAACTAGTACTCCTAAATAGAAATCCTTTTTTTTCTTTTTTTTTTTCCTCTATTATCTCTGTTATTATGGCTATGACTAATAACTTTGAATCCCTATTTTTTAATTTATATGAAACAAATCTCTTCTCTTCAGAAGAATACCTAGACCCTAAAAATAATTTTTATCGCAGTATTTTATCCGATTGTTTGTATCATTTTAGGAAGTTTGAAATGCAGTTTTAAAAAACTTTTCAATCTATTAGAAGAAACTAAACACATTTTTAATATAATTTGTTTAACTGAAACTTGGATCACAGAAGATGAAATAAGAAGTAATTTTGATATTCCTCGTTTTAATACTATTTCTATGGAGAGAAAAACAAATAAGCGCGGTCGTGGAGTATTAATTTATATTCACTAAAATTTTGAGTATTGTTTTAGGAATCATTTGAGCGTTTCTGACTGTGATAAAGAAATTGTAACTATTGAAATTACAAACAATCAAACTAAAAACATTTTATTAAGCTGTTTTTATCGGCCACAAATTATTAAAAAAGGAATTAATGATAAAAAAGAAAACTATATAGTCGGAGATTTGAATATGAACAGTTTTCTCTATAATGACGACAAAAAAAATCAGAATTTTTAGACGCAATTTTCGAAACAGGGTCAGTTACTTTAATAAATTGACCCACTAGAGTAACAATAAACACAGCAACTCTTATAGATAATATTATAACTACTGATATTTTTAATAATAATATACAAATAGGTATCATAAAAACTGATATATCGGATCATTTTCCTCTATTCATAAAACTTAATAAAACAAACCCAGAAAGAAACATTAATATAAAAAAAATAAGAAGAAAACGCATTTATAATGAGGCTAATATCAAATTATTTAAAGAACAAATATCATTACTACATTGGAAAAGCATAAAATTTGATGATAACGCAAATAATATTTATGAAACTTTTTTCAAAACATTTTTTCTGAATATGAACTTAATTTCCCAATGGTAGAAAAAACAATAACAACTAAGAATATCAATACACCCTGGATTACTAAAGGTTTTAAAATTATCCAGAATAAAACAAAAGCTATACATAATTTTTTTAAAAATAAAAACAGCTTCAAGCGAAAATATCTATAAGAACTACAAAATCCTATTTGAAAAAATTCGCAAAAATTTAAAGAAAAATTATTACTCCCAATTATTCAACACATTTAAAAACGACACAAAGCGCACGTGGCAAATAATGAAAGAAATTATTGGCAAAAATAAACCATGCTCCGGTTTTCTGCCACAAATGGTTAGAGTCGATAATAAAAGTTTATATGAACCAAAAACTATAGCTCAAGAATTTAACAAATATTTCACTCATATTTGACTAACACTGTCTGAAAAAATCCCTAAGACCAAATCTTTGTTTAATGGCTATCTAGAACCCCTGGATAATTACATTTGGTCAGATGAGTTATCTTCCGAATTAATGTTTGATAAGTTTGAATGAGCCTTTAAATCTGTTATAAAAAATAAAGCAATTGGAGCAGATCAAATTAATGAAAACGTGGTTTTAGATTGCTTTAACAACTTAAAGTTGTTCTTTTTAAAATCTTTAGGGCTACTATCCATGAAGGAGTATTCCCAGAACAATTAAAAAATTGAAAAAATATTTCTTTTTTTTTAAGAAAGGGATAAATCTGAAATCAGCAATTATCACCCTATCTCTGTTCTCTCCACATTTTCGAAAATTTTAGAAAAAATTATGTTTTACAAAATATACATATATTTTCATGATAATAATCCCAAGCGTTGCGGCGTCACGGCTGTTTCAAGCGAGCTTTACGGCTTCTTGTTGTTTTTTGAAAATATTCACGTAAGGGGGTTACTAAAACTTTTATAACTTTTGAAACATTAGAGGTAATTTTGTTCTGTAAAAAGAATAAAAACACCAATAAAATGTTTTATTTGATGGCGTTTCACAGATATATTAAAAAACTTCTTTAATTTTAGAATAAACGCGGCAAATGTTGAACTTGGTTTAATATTAGTAATTTGATGTTACTTTTTATCAAAAAAAACTCAGAAAGAATATATTTTCGATAATTATTATTAAATATACACATTGTTGGACTATTATAAAAACAAAAAAATCTTACTTAAATGTTAAAAAATTTAAAACTAAAGCTTAATACCTAAAAATTTAAAGCTTAAGCTTTAAAGCATCCAATGTATAGTATTAGTATCTCGCTTTCACTAGAATGCATAGTGATAAATACACTTCTTTATACAAATATAATACAAACAAATAAAATCAAATAATAATTATTGACAAAAACAAGTATGCAATAGGTATTAGAGGATTTAACAACTTATCTGATGTTTGTAGATTAGCCACGAGAGAAAAAAAACCGCCAAAGTTTTTTTTATTTATACACTAAAATTTGTCTCGCTAAAAAAGCTGTTTTAATAAATTTAATTACATAGTGAATTGGAAATTAACGCATTTAAAGTTACGTCATTGCTTTAAAACATAAACAAAAATTTTACGCCTGTAACTACAAATTTTTGCTAAAAGCAACAAAGTTTACGAAGGTTGAAGACGTTTTAGTTAGAAGTACAGAAAGTAATTTTTTTGATTTTCATGTGCATAGAGGGTTGAAATTTCAATAATTTGGAGGGCATAACAAAAATTAAACGTTTTTCATATAAAACAAGTAAAAACAAAAAAAAAATAATGCTTAAAAAAACTGACTAAAACTATTTTTTTTATCTGTGCCCTCCAAAAATCTGATAAAATAGACATTCGTTTATAAATATATAAAATTTCAATCATCGAGCATGTAGCTTAAAATATTAAATCTTGATTGGCTCAAGACAGGTTTTCCGTAAAAAACGCAAAAAATAGAAAAGTGATCCAAAATCATTTAAAATATTTTAATAATGCTTATTTTTATTTCGTTTCATGTAAATATTTATTTAACGAAGAAAGATAGTTCTTTTATATTTTTTTAATTCCAAGATAAAAGCGTTTATAGAAAAAAAATACTATTAATTTAAAGTTAGTGAATTTTTATACTTTTTATGCGGAAATTCTTTTTTTTTTTTAAACACAAAAATTCTTGTGACGTCAAGCTCGCTTTTATATTGAGTGAATTCACTCAATATAAAAGTCAACTCAAATAAATTCACGGTCGTTTCAAAGTGCCAGGTTATTGTACGCAAGCGCAGAAGATTTCAAAATAGTAAAAATTTTAATAATGGCTACGGTTCGTAGATACGCTGAGATTTTTAGACTAGCAACTAGTTATTTGTATATTCTTCTTGTATTAATCCAAATTAGTAACTCTTTCTTTCACTAAAATCATAAAAGATTTCTTAGTTTTTTAGAAAAAATGATTTAAACTAATTGAAGACATGTTATTGTTTTAAAGATCGTGTATTTTAAGAAAGTCATTTTGCAGCACAATTCGTTATTTGTTTATATTTTCAAATTATAATACCTCATTATTTGAGCGTAAAAAAAACTTTTTTTTTTTTTTTATTCTGATAAATCTTTCCTGATTTGAATAATTTTAACTGATCTTAGGACACAATTTTTTTTCATCTTGTATAGAGGTACATACCTTTGTAGGTGTATGAAGTTCATACCAAATGGTATACCATTCCATTTGGTATGAACGTCATATAACTATATATATATATATATATATATATATATATATATATATATATATATATATATATATATATATATATATATATATATATATATATATATATGTATATATATATATATATATATATATATATATATATATATATATATATATATATATATATGTATTTATATATGTGTTTATATATATATTGCGAGGTTAGAATTATTTTGTTCTATCTCCACTTTTTGAAAAAAATGAGTTATTAATTGTGTAATGTACCTCAAAATAATGTTTTTCTACTATATTAAAACCTAAGTTAAAATCAAAAAAGTTTCTGAGAAAACATAAGTAATAAAAATCTTTTTATATGAAGTCTCCTAAAGTTTTTATTTTTTAAATCGTTTTATCTAGAAACAAAAAAATGTGGAGATAGAACAAAATAATTCTAACCTCGCGATATATATATATATATATATACATATATATATATATATATATATATATATATATATATATATATATATATATATATATATATATATATATATATATATATATATAGATATATATATATATATATATATATATATATATATATATATATATATACATATATATATATATATATATATATACATATATATATATATATATATATATATATATATATATATATATATATATATATATATATATATATATATATATATAAACAGTGACATTGTTAATAGTATGATATATGTAATTAAAAATAATTAAATTAATATTACTACCTTATAAAATAAATTGCATGTTATCAAACATTTCGTTAATTTAATTTGCATTACATGCATACATGTATTACATTTATATATATATATATATATATATATATATATATATATATATATATATATATATATATATATATATATATATACATATATATATATATATATATATATATATATATATATATATATATATATATATATATATATATATATATATATATATATATATATATATATATTTATATATATATATATATATATATATATATATATATATAAACAGTGACATTGTTAATAGTATGATATATGTAATTAAAAATAATTAAATTAATATTACTACCTTATAAAATAAATTGCATGTTATCAAACATTTCGTTAATTTAATTTGCATTACATGCATACATGTATTACATTTATATATATATATATATATATATATATATATATATATATATATATATATATATATATATATATATATATATATATATATATATATATATATATCAGGACTTTTCCAGGATATTTCCCTAAAAAAGAAAAAATCCAATGACTTTCTATACACATGCTCATATCTGAGACATACCTTAAGGTTGTCATTAAAAAGCATAACATTCGATGCTGCTGTCATTATCTTGTGTGATGAAAGCTAATCGAGTTACGCAGAAAGCAGAACTGTGATAAAATCTCATATAAAAGAAGCATGCAAGCTCATAATGTTCTAAAGCACTGATAAATTATTTAATGTCTGGTACTAAGTTTTCAATTTAGAAATTCTCTTTGATTCGCTTATTTATGTATGATGTTTATAGTGTTGATAACATTGTACGTTATGTTGAAATTATCTTTTAAAACTCAAAATATGTGTTCACAGAATTTATTGCTGCAACAGCTAAGATCCCTCTCTAAGATTGTAATGCACATCAACCAGTTAATCTTCTTTATTTGCAGTTTAATTGAGGGTTTCCATAAAGTGCAGATAACCCTGTGACAGAACTTTTGTTGCATTAGCACTACGTGACCATTGAAAATTTATGTTTCTTATAGGAACATGTACTGGGATATGTGTTAGCGCATGTTGAAGAAGTGAAGAAGATATATTTATTCTTAAAACATACCAAAAAGTTCTACAGTAGTGGGAAAATATTCTGAAGTGGCTTGATTAACAAAATTCAGTGATTGTACTTCGACTGAGTGAGAGTGTCAATAAAAAACTTACCAGTAAACTTACTTATTTTGTATTGATATTTTTTAAAGCTAAGGTATGCTGTTTACAAAGCTTATTGCACAATGTATTAATCTAATTCTTTTTCGTTATTAGCAAATATAAATAAATTATTCTCCTTATTAATAAATACAGTGTTCCTACAGAGCTTGTTTTCTTGTTGTTTTTTTTCCTTTTTGGCCTATTTTCCTGTTTTTAAGGCAATAGCCTGTTTTTATTTTATTTTTAAATAAGTATTATTAAATAAAAAATGTTTAAATTTAGACCTCAAAATGTTGATTCAAAACGTGATTCGAATCGCGAATCAAGACCTGCTTTGATTCGAGATTCGATTCGAAACAAAAACGGCCGATTTGCAGGACCCTAGTTTAATATTATTACTTAACATAGTTTCTACTTGTTTGAAATAGATTAATTAACCATGTAAATGTTATCAATTAAATTCTTGAATAACTTGTAACTCATGAATAGTTAAATTAAATTAATAAGTTTGAAATATGATATAAATTTTTTTTATTTAAAATATTTGTGTTATTATCACTATATTCCTATTATTCCGAAACGCTTGTTGTACTCGATCATATACGTGTAATTCTAGGTGAAAAAAAATCAGGACTTTCAATCAAGATCTTTATTCCAGTTTCATCAAGATCTTTATTCAAGATCTTTATTCCAATTCCAGAACTTTTAAGTAATTTAAGATGTTGTTCACAAAATGTATGACACATTTTTTTCTCTTTTTAGACTCCCCGTGTGGCATTTTTTGACATGAACGTCCTCCCCTTTATTTTGAGATGTTTTTAAAGAAAATAAAATAATTACCTCAGAGTTTGCAATTTAACGCTAAAAGTTTATTAGATCCGCAGTGATTAAAATTTAAATTTGAAAATATTTATCACGTCACATGTGTTTTTTGGTGACACTTTCTGATACCCCTTCCCCCCTTTAAAAAAATAATTTCACAATCGTTTTAATTAAAAAAATTTATTTGAACAGCCGCTAAAAAAAAATGATTGTAATAATAAAGAAACTAGTTTTAATTTTAAAAGATAACTCAGTTGCTTCTTTTGAGTACAAAAATAGTAAGTTTTTCTTCATACTATTTTACGAACAGAAAAACTTATCAACAAGTTTCTTGTAGCACCATAAACCACGAGTTAGGGTTAAATAGGGCGCAATTAAAAATTACAATGTTTTATAGTTTGAAGGTAATTTTTATAGTTGACATTGTTTTTTTTTTACTTTTACGTGCAAGAGAAATTTAAAAAACAATGCTAGTTATTATTAGTCATTATTAGTGCACTAACAATGTTAATTTGAGGTGGTTTTAAGTTTGTAGTTATTTAATTAACTCACTAGCGGGCCGACGACATGGGTTTTAAAGTCGGAAGAGGGGGGCAGACTCCTTTATTTCGAAAAAAATCGTCAATATCTATAAAAATTCCAAGTATGACTTATATGTTCTGTTACTAATAAAATATCAAGCTTGCAAAAACAATTAGATAATGAGTATTGAATATAATTGATTAAAAAGACATTGTAGTCGTTGCTATAGAAGCTAAAAATAAAACCTTTAAAACAAAATCTGCATCTTTTTCTTTTATTTATACACGGAATTGCATGTTCTCGTGAGTGGTCTGCGGATAATGACGTTTTAAATTTTTTGGCATCATGACACCCGCCCCGCCCCTCCCACTTACCTCCTCACACATTTACATGTATAAAAAAAACTGATATTTATTTACCGCCCACAGCTCAAAATTTATTTTATACTAAATAATGCTTTTAATATGTTTGTGGCTATGAAAATAGCCGTTTTTAATTTCCCTTCTTCGGAGACTCGAAGATATTCAAGCAATTTTCTTAACAAATTTTCTTTTTTTTACACATGGCTTAAGTCGCATGTTCTCTGGGTTTGTCTTTTGGTAATGGGATTTCAGAATACTTTTCACGTGCATTGTTGGACAAGGAATTGATTGATATATATTTTTCAGTTTATTGAACTCTGCATGTATCGACTCGCCGCCTTGCTCGCCATAAAACCCAAATCCCGCTTTCCATTTTTCTAAAAACGGAACAGTATGACGTTCCAGCATATGTAACTTTGGCGACACTGAGGCCTCGGGCCAATTTTCCCGATAAAATTGCATCAAATCGTTTATCTTCTTTTCTGAACAATTTAAATATTAATGCAATAAAAGTTAATACAAAAAATCAGGAATAACATTTAAGCACATAATAAAAAAAAAAATGAAACTTACTTAAAATACTTAATTTTTCTGTATTTTTGGATGAAAATATGTTATAACACTGTGCAAATTTATCAAAGAGCTGTTTGTATTGCTTGCTAATTTCTATTGATTTTAGATGTATATTGGTCCCTGAATAACCTTCATCATAAACAAATTTAGGTATAGAGTTGCATAACCGAAGTATTGAAGGTTTCTAAACAATAATTTAAAACTAAATTATAAAAGCATTACTTACTATTTAATAGTTAATAAAAAATTTATTTTATGCTGTATTTCAGTTAATTTTTGTTAAAATATTACTTTAAAACTTTAAGTTATTTTATATCTTTAACTTTTAACTTAACTTACTTTAAGCATTTTATGCACATGATTTCCAATAAAACTTTTTCCATGATATGCTTGGCGTTGAACATTAAGCTGTTGTAATATAGTCTCAATCATTTGAGTACAAGGTCCTTGACCCTTCTTTAAAAAATATTCTTCAAGAGTATTGAATAGATTTGTCTAAAAACAAACACATAAAAAACTATCAATGGATTTCAAAATTTTTAAAATACTATTTTAAATTACCCAGTGGCGTAGCAAAGGTTTTAGCGTCTTGGGGACAATGGGGCAAAAATGACTAAAAGGTTTAATTGCTATAAAAACATTTTTATAGCAATTATACCTTTTTTACATTAAAAGATTTTTTTTCTTTTTTGTTCCTTATTTTATCTGAGCCATCAAAACCACTTGTACCAGGGGCCTAAGTCACTTTTATATAGGCATCTAATATCTAACATTATCATTTTAAGTATGAACTTAATTGAGTAAAAGCTAGTAAACTCATGTTTTATCCTGGCTGCTAAATGTACTTATTCCAAATTACCCTTTTTACCAAGTGCTTGAAAAACTAGTTCAGGTTTACATTACCTTAATATCAAGGTATTATAATTAATGAACTCACAATCCAAAAATTACCTTTTTTTCTTTTTCATTAATAAGTAGCTCAATTTCTGTCAAGTAAAGAGATTGAGCATCATCTACATCATCTGAATTATTTACTGCAGCTAATAAAATGATATCATTAACTAATTCAATTTGATCATCAATATTTAGAATATCTATTTGAAGATTCCACAATTGCTTTTGTTTGTTTATAAAAACTTCATACTCTTCTGAGCATTTCATGCCGCTCTTTAGCGGTTCAGCAGCCATCAATATGTCCAATTGATGAACTTTTTCTTCAAACATGTTAAAAAAGTTTAAATAAATACCAAGAGCCATGTGAAGACTAGGTAAAGACACCTAAAAAAAACATAATTTGTATATAGTATAGTACTTTAATATTATTAATTAAAGGTATAAAAAATAAAAATTACTTGGTCTAGTGGTATTTTTAAAATTGGTTCATTTATGACATTATTAAAATTTTTGGCAATATTCTTTAGACCTCCGTTTTCCATAAACCTTTTATGATCCAAACATAAATCCTCCAATGCGCGATACTTTATTTCAGGGTCAATGCATTTCATTTCACTTGCTGTCGCATAGCAGAAAAGACAACAATGCCTCCCTCAAGAATAAAATAAACGATATATTGATAATTAGGAACAAAAATTATATTATTAAACAGGGTCATCATTTTGAATTTTAGGTTAGATTAGTGTTAATTGATTTTTGATTCATAAATCGAGAATCGGATCTATAAGCGTAAAAAGCCAATAATTTAAAATTTGAAAAAAAAAATACCTGAGGCACCTGAAATACCATAAAGTGCACATAGAAACTTGTAATCTCCAAAAATAAATACTCTAATGTTGCTATCACTATAAATAAATGTGTAATACACAAACTATTGTAATAAAATCTCTATGCATATAAAGATTATGAAATGAATAATGTAAACCTTATCAAAATGTTTTAACAACTATTCATCTTATTAGGCCTAAATAAAAATATTTAACTTGTTAAAATCTTTTTTTTTTAATCTGTGGATTTGTTTATTAAAAAAAAATCCCTTCAAAAGTTTTACTAAACATACGTGATGGGATTTTGAAAACAAATTATGTACCTAAACGTACCAGGTATGTATAAGTAACCTAATTATTCATTAACAATTTAGAATTGCAAATTGTGCAAACAAACAAAAAAGATTTATTTATACTTTATCTAATAGTGTTATTTAAAGAAAACTTACTTATATTTCATTTTTTGAAGATCTTCTATTTGTTTTTCAAATCTTGAAATGGCAACTTTAATATTGATTTGGTAATCCTTTGCCTCAAAAATGCTAAAAACAATGGTGTTATCTTTGCTGTTTGGGTTTATGGTATTTGCTACCTGATAAGTCATTTTGAAACTTCCACCACCGTAATTTCCTCCTATCTTAATCTGTATTTCCTTCTCAGGAAAAAACTCATGGTAATGAAGACTTTTACAACTATAGAAGAGATATAAGTATTATATAAACAATACGTTAACAAAATTAGTAAAATAAGTATTAAATAAAGAATTGAAAAGATTTCATTCAATACTTTATTGAACACAAGAATACTACAAGAAATTATAGACATCAGACATTACAGTTTTAATATAGTTTTTTGGGAAAGTAAAATAAAATAATTAAAAGTTTAATGTGTTAAATAAGCGACAAAGTAATTTATAAGGAAAGTCTTTGTTCTAACATTAAATACATATGTTTAGGTATTTAAAATTTAGGACTTTAAATGCAAAATTATTTTAAAAATATGTTTTTAAATTTTTATTTAATTCATTATTTTAATAAAAATCACCTTTCTAATTGATCAAGATGTCTAAAAATATGTGTTTGCAAACTTTCAATGTAACCGAATGTTGCATCCTTTATTTCAAACGCCCCTTTACTTTCTTTTTCAAATGTAAACGGAGCATTTTCTACAATAAAGTCGTTCCCAGAAAGTTTTTCACTAATTATTCGTTGAGAAGCATGTGATGCTGTTTTTATATTAAAGCTCTTTAGCCACCTGTAAAAATATCATTTGCACTATTCTATAAAAATAAATAATTTTTTGAACAAACTTAAAAATATGCAGAAAAATAATATCCTAGATATATTTTTTAGCTTTTCCCAAGGTAAACCGAGATCTGCTTTCATAGCTACCATTTTAGTTGCACTAATTGCAACTCCTTCAATACTCAAATTAGTCAATATTTTTTCTCTTGTTTCTGATGGAAATGATTTCAGCAGCTTCGAAGACTGGCTACAAACTGAATCAGTAGATGTACCAGACACAATTTCCATATTTCTTTTCAAAATTGCATTTCTTTCTTTTATTGTTGTACTTGATGCCTCATTGCTTGTGACATATGCCTTTGCAATAGATGAAAACAGAACTGGCTGAAAAAAAAAGGAATCTATGAAGAATACAGTTATTAATTTTTTTAAATCGATTTAACTAAACTAAACAAATTTTACTCTAGGTCCTCCACTTTTAAATGAAATTGATTTTCCTCCACTTTTTTCCATCTTTTGTTTAAGAACATGGAGTGCAGCATCTTCAACAACTCTTGGTATATTACTATTAGCTGTTAGATTAAAAATCTCAGAAATGCTATTGTTACAAGTATACAATGTTGGTGACAAACTTGGTAAAGATAATGGTGAGGACAAAAATAATGATTTTGTTACAGATTTTCCATTGCATATAAGCTTATGATGTATATTTACATCATATTCTTTTATTATATTTACATAGAATACATTCAATATCTTTACATAGAATACATTCAACACTTAACATTTTTATAAGGGAGTTTGTTTTATTGCTGGCAACTAAGTCTTCGGGTATTAAAGGTTCGTTACATTTTGGGCATGCAGTTTCATTAAAGAACCTAATTTTAATAATCTCCACTAAACAGAAAAAACAAAACAAATGTTCACATTTTTTCAAAAATACCGGTTGTTTTGGTATTTTACCACATAAACAACATATGCATAGCTGAAAGTAAGGATTAAATTCATTTACCAAGTCGTTATTGTCTTTTTCCAAATTGTGTAATGTCAAAATATTTTCCTTTAAAGTACTCAAGATAGAAAAACTCCAAACCTTTTCGCCAATTTTAGGATGGCCAATAAACTTTGTTTTACTCCTTATTTGGGAATTTGAAAAAATAGCACCCTGACTCAGTTTTTTCACACAATGACAAGTATAGCAGTCATCACAATGAGGTGTAAACTTTGTACATAAAAGCAGAGTAGTTGATGACATTCTTTTTATTACCATGTTAATTGTTTTGTAACATTTAGGACAAATTTTTGAGGGATGAACTCCTTCTAAATCTGTTAATTTGACGTGAAACATCTTTTCAATTTTATCTTTTTGGATGGCTCCAATTGAGTAGTTTTTTTTCCCAATAAAACAACCACAAACTCTGCAAAGAAGGTTTCAATTTGTTATATGCAAATCCATCTAAAGAAAGAAAGTAATCAATAACTTTTAAATAAAGAATGAAATTGAAATCAAAACTATTATTTATAACTATTAACTACTAAAATACTATATTCAAATCATAACTCAGCTTTATAAATTTAATTTAAAAAATAAATAAAATTGTAATAAAATTTTCAAGTGCAAATATAATAAAAGCTTTTAGTGCAAATACAATAAATACTATTTAAGAACCACTGTAAATTGAGTCGAACAAAAATAAGTATTATTGAAATTAATACCTTAAATAAATTAAAGAAAAATCTTAGTCTTAATCTTTTGGGTTATGTTTATGGTTTAGCATTAAGGTATGGTTTTGCATAAAACTCATTTTTTACTGACTTTGAGGTGGATGTCCTAAATACACATTTTCCAAAAAATCTTTTAAAAAAAAGTAAATTCAATTTTATAAATAAAGAATTTTCTGTTTTTTTAAATAATCATAAATTATAAAATTGTGACCTTGTAAAAAATTGTATTTTATAACTTTACTTGAGAAAATGTGAATTTTAAACAAGAAAAAAAATTGTGTCCTGAGATTAATTAAAAGAAATGAAAACATATAAGATTTATAAAACTTTTTTTGAAAATTCTGAAAAAGTTTAACGCTCAAATATTTAGAAAAATAATTTTGAAAACTATAAACAAACCACAGCATAATAACTTCAAAAGTAACTCAATTTTATTAGTAAAATTATTCATATACATATTAACTTTAGTTATTTTTATAAAAAATAGGGTGTCTCTATTATTATATAGCACAAAAATCATTTATAAATTCAAAAAATAAAAACAAATAATGCAAATAAAATTGTTGCTAAGAAAGGTTAATTCTGTTTCGAAGATCCACAGTTATTTTGAAAATTCTTCAAATATCAAATAAGCCAATGCGCCTGCGTATAATAACCTGGCGCTTTTTAGTAAAGTTTGAACGACCGTGTGAAACAGCCGTTTATACAAATTTTGCTACCTTGGACCATAGGAGGAATATACTGTAAATTTATTATTCTTTTGGATTTTGCCTTTTTTTTATTGCCGATGCTATCGAAAAACATAAACAAGAAGTAAAAAAGAATGAACTTGAAAGAAATAATTTAGTCATGTAAAGTTGTAATACAATTTCTAATAAAATAGAATGATACAAAAATTTTTATTTTCCAATTTGATTGATTCCATAAGATATTCCTCCCGAAACTGCGCTGCCTAAGGCAGCTCTTCCTAATACAGGTAAAAGTCTTGGTAAAAGTCTTGAAGCAATCGCTCCTATCGCACCCAAAAATTTTCAACGCATTCGTCTTTTGTATCGTCTTTTGTATTGTCTTTTTGTACGTTTAGACAATTTTCTTTTGTGCAGTTTATATATTTTTTAGAAAAGAGCAGCTGTTCCTGCCAATCCTCCCGCTATACCTTCAAAAAGTGGTTATGTCAATAAACCTAACGTTTTAACAGCTCCCCAACTTTTCACTCGAAATCGTCTTTTTAAACGTCTTTTATGTCTTTTTCCTCTTAGTCTCTTGTGAATGAGAAACCTATTCACAAAGCTGAACACTTTAACATGTATTATATAAACACGATGGAATGTTTTTTAAAAAAAACATTTTTTTATTTAATTTTTTATATTTACTGTATAATACGTTTTATTTACAAGATATACATTGTCAAAACTATGACATTTTGTTTTATTTACTTCTTCGCAACGGTTGTTTTCACGTATTAACCAAAGTTTTATACTCTTCTCTTTTTTTCATTTTTGTCTTTCACATGGTGAAAATAAAATCAATTAAATAATTATGTAACATTTTGGTTTCGTACTTGCAACAATGATCCAAATGTTCTTTACTAAAAACTTTACCAACAAAATGTGCATTGCACGGTAATTCATCGTATAAAATAGTTCATGTATTTAATTTTTGGAAACGCAAATTTGTTAAGGTCGAAAAAAAAAACATTTTTAAAACATTTTAAAATTAATTCTTCTATGATACTACCTTTATATAAAACAAAGTTCATAGGATATTTTATAAAAAGCGTTTCCAAATAATCGTATACATTTGAGCAAAAAATATTGTCAGAGTTGCACAATAAACTCGGATCATATGTCAATCCGTGTACATATTTACGACAATGATTGAACGCATATTGATGTTTCTCAGCTGATTTTTGATGAGTAATGCACGGCTACACCTGTGCATGCAGGGCCGGCGCGAGTAGGTGTTACGTGGGGGGGGGGGTGCCATTACAACTTTTGCCAAAACAAAAATCTTCGTTTAATGCTCTTAACCATATCTCCCTAATACAGTTTAAAAGAAAATAACAAGGTTTTTTAACAGAAATGAAACGCATCCTTTTTTTTTAATTTTTTAAACATGTATAAAAAATCAAAAAAAAATTTTGTTTAAAAAGTTTTTTTTATAAAAAAAATGAATCGAGTTAAAAAAAATTCACAACAATTGCGCTGTTTGCGCATTAAGGCCGTTTTCCACAAGACAAAAAATTCGCGCGAAGCGAATTTTTTCGTCGTTAAGCATGCGCAGATTAAACATTTTTGGCGATTATACCACTGATCTCTATAATAACTCTATAATATCTATATAATAATAAGTTATTATAGAGATCAGTGGATTATACTGATTTTTTTTCGCTACAGCGTTTCGCTGCAGAGTCGGATTTATTTCGACTTTTTGCGAATCGCCATAAGCGAAAACCAATAAAATTTTGAATATTATATCACACGATGTCAACATTAAAAAAAAGCGAAAACAAAATTCTTAACCTGGCGTTCTTATTAATTTTATAAGAACTTACTCTGAAAATTGGCTGGCATGAGTAATTTTATCAAACAAGGGGCAAGACTTACATAAAAAAATGACCAGAATTATATATAAAACTAAATCGAAAATTTACAAATAAAAATTTTCACACTGTCAATTACGAAAGTTACACTTCATAAGAATGTTTATCTTCAAATGGCCACACGAAGATAAACCTTTTTGTGAAAAATTCTTTATAGAGTTAAACCTGCTGTTCGTTCTTGCAGTAACAGTTTTTAATAGAAATGTTCATATCAGAGTTTAGCATTTATTTTTTTATTATTTCTTGTAAAAAAAAACCTTATATTAAACGATTATATTACAAAATAATATCACATCTTACATATAAAGGCAGAAATGTTAATATTAATGCACGAAAAGAAATTTTCACATGCTTCAAAGTAGAAAGTATGCTAAAAAAGTATTAACTGCCTTCAGTTAAACATACAGCGTAAACTTATTGCTGCCAGTTTTACTGTTGACAACGAAAAAAAAGTAGCGCGAAAGAAAGTAAGTGGAAATCAAAACAGCGTTTCGTTGTAGCGAAAAAATTCGCTTCGCGCGAACTTTTCGTCTTGTGGAAAACGGCCTTTAGACTAAGTAGCCAAAAAGTACAAGAGTCGTGAAAACAAATCTGATAACTCTTCACCGTCTTCTCTTGTAAACGAAGATAAACATTATAAAGACGAAAGTTCAAACGCTTTTTTTGAATATATTTTAAACTCAAAACGCATCACCTTAAATTCTTATTCTACTGAAAAATGTTTTAAAAACAGTCAATTTAAAAATTTGCTCGAACAACCTCAATTGTGCGAATATCATTTGGATCATTTTAACAAATTAAAAAAATTATTTTATTTTTAATTGACATTTTAATATTGTTATGAAAAAAAAATAAAATCGAGCATTATATATATATATATATATATATATATATATATATATATATATATATATATATATATATATATATATATATATATATATATATATATATATATATATATATATATATATATTCATTTACGCTTCATTAATATATATATATATATATTAATGAATTCATTTACGCTTCATTAATATATATATATATATATATATATATATATATATATATATATATATATATATATATATATATATATATATATATATATATATATATATATATATATATATATATATATATATATATATATAATGTAAAATCTTCCATAACAATGTTATGTAAGTGTAATGCAGCAAAACAGTTTCGAAGGATTTCTTTAACTCAACGCGAGGCACAACCAATTAGAAACATGAAAATTATCAATTATTGTTAATAGCAGTATTTACCAATTTATCATTCACAATGCAAGGGTAAACTTAATTGTACTAAATAATATAAACTTATTGCTTAAAAAAGTTTACGCAAATTCTGTTTAGATTCTAAAACAGGAAGAAGTTCTCTATGAGCTATTGTTGCCTTTATAAACCCGTCTCGTGTTTCCTGTCCAAAAACTATACTAGAAGCTCTTGTAACTTCTTTCAAAATTCTTCCTATGGATTGCCCATGTACAGGAAATTCTGAAACTTCCACTGGGACTTTTAAAAATTTAATAAGTTCTTCTTTACCAATCTTGCATGTGAACAAAGGTTCGTAAATATCATTACTCCAATCAATCAGTTAGATAATAGTTTCAGCATTAGCATTAATATTTGGCATATTTCTTGGTCTAGCAGCAGTAATTCCTAGGGAGCTCGAACTCCTTACTGAAAGTATTTTATTCACTGCAAACTTCCTCTCCTCTTTATCTTTGTTGCATAGTAGTGCTTGAAGAATAGATTCACTGTGAGCATTCCAGGCAGAGAAGCAAATATAGGGCAAAACTGCTTATTGAATATTTAAGTTCATTTTTTGGATAAGTTCCAGCTGTTTGATAGTGTGGTATGGTCCATAAGTCCATTTATGTTTTACTTTAACATTAATAATACATTTTTCAAAAATAACATATCAAACTACATATGAACAATTCTTACTTTAATTTCAAACCATAATACAGAATATACACCAACACAAACTGTGCAAAGTATCTTAAATACTCAACATCTTTTTTATTTAGTCCATGCTCTGAACACCAAATTTTGCCAAATTCAACCAGTGTGCGTTATTGTGAAGACCAACTTGA